CCCTTTCTAAAAGTCATTTGTAATTATTTTACCAAGTAGCAATGCCACAACGTATGTGAATATTTTAAGAAATGTTTTTAGGCTTATGCCAGTGTATATATTTGGATTTATTGTGGGTCAAATGGAATTATAGTTTAAAATTATCACTCAATTTGTTTTGGAATGAATTGAAAATGTAAATTGGTACAATTATTTGCACTGGCTAACACACAGAAAGCAGCTGGTTTGAAGAGACTGGGAGAATCTGTGTTGCTGCTTGGAGTTGGGGAGCAGGGAAAGATTTCAGCACAAGTCACAACACTCTTACTGCGACAGGAATATACTGAGGCCGAGAAGCTGATCAAACAGTGATTGCAATTCAAAGACTGTACCTTTCACAAAAACAGGAAATAAAAGCAACTGTTTCTTTTTATTTTCTGAATGGTGTGATTGAGCATGATCCAGTCATTGCATGGAACTTTCAAACACAAGCTACACGTGCAGAAATGAGGATCCAGTTGTAGGACTGGTTTCTCTGCTCACATGATGTATTGACTCTTGCAAGTGTTGCTTCATATTTCTCAGGCTGCTGAGGTTTCTTTTAATAACCAAACCACTATCTAGTTGAAGATCAGTACATGTCAGGACTGCAAGACATCATTTTCCTGGTCAGTGCCTACCACAACTGTTAATACACAAGATATGGGCTAATGGAGTTGGTGTCTTGTATTCACGTGGAAAGGGGATTGGTTCATTAACAAGAAGTAGTCAGTAGAGATGAGTGGAGCATTTTCAAGTTGACAGGATGTGATTGTGGAGTTTTACAAGTATCAACGCTGGGGCCTCAGCTATTTACAATCGATATTAATGACTTAGATAAAGAGACAGGAAGAAATGTATCAGCATTTACTGATAATACAAATGTATGTGAGAATGTAAGCTGTGATGATGGGCAGTGAAGTGGCAGGTGGATTATAATGTGGGAACAAGAGGTTTTCATTTTGATTGAGATTGATTCAGTTGTTTTTCGACATCTGGAATACTGTGTGCAACTTTTGGTCTCCATACTTAAGGAAGGATGTGCTGACATTGGAGGTATTACTAAAAACGTTCACTGTATTGTTCACTGGGGTAAGGGAGCTGTGCTATGATGAAAGCCTGAACCAATTGGGTCGATATTTGCTGGAATTCCACATAAAGAAAGGGAATTGCAATGAGCTGGGAAAAAGTACTGAAGGGAATAAAAGTAATCTGGAAATCTGAAATAAAAACCAAGAACTTCAGTAGGTCAGGCAGTGCCTGTGGCAAGAGAAACAGAGTTAATGTTTCAGGTCCAGTATGACTGTAAAGACATTCTGAAGAAGTGTACTTGAATTCAACATTAATTCTGTTTCTCTCTCCACAGATACTGCCAGACCTGCTAAGTTTTTCCAGCACTTCGTTTTTATTTAAGAATCTAAAGGGGTTTGACAGGTAGAATGTTGCAAGTCTGTTTCTACTAGGTGGGGAACCCAGAACAGGGGTCACAGTTTCAGGGTCAGGAGATGATCATTTCGGATATGGCTGAGGAGAAATGTCTGTATTCCAAAGGTTGTGAATCTTTGGAATTCTCTGCCCCAGAGCATTCAATGCTCCATCATTTATTTAAGACTGTGATTAGACTGAACTTTTAGTATCTCCAGAATTTGGGGCTATGGGAAAAGGGAGTGGGGGTGGGAAAGTGGAATTAAGGTGAAGATTGGCCTTCATCGTATTGAATGGCAGAGCAGGCTCAAAAGCTTTATGATCCACCTTGCTCCTGTTTCTTTAGTTCTTACAGGAGGGTTTTTGGCCACTGAATCCAAACAGCTTTCAAAGCTGACTATCAACATCTGGTTATGGCACAAAAGTTATAACTTCACCCGTAATCATTCAATGTCCAAATGAGGTTTAAGAAATGGAACAATTACAAGAAAAAGTTCCAGGCATTTTTCTAATGTACATAGTGATCAGCCCAATGGCTAATGGGTCATCAATTCAGTGGAAAAGTCTAATTAAATAAACAAATCACAGTTTTGTTTGAAAGAAGAGATAAAGGGACTGAATATGAAGTCCTAACCCAGGAATGTGGAATGGCTGTGAATAACTCTGTGATAAACAGTGATGGACAACAAAAGTTTGTCCAGTTAAGACGATTAGAAATCATCAGTATCCTTCAGCAAATCCAGCAATACCTCAGGGTTACATTTTGTTCGTGGTGCACAGGAAATAGTACTTTTGCCAAAGGTGCTGGGGACAGGTCAATTCTGTGCAATTCAATGAAAATATCATTGATATAATTTGGGAAAATGTTTCTAGTTGAGGATGACTTTATTGAAGGAGGAATATTGGCGTTCTTATCTGAGTTAGAATCACGGAAGGACCCAGTCTTTAATCCAAGAGCATTGACCTGACAGCTAGGTTAACTTAGTATAATTTCAGACACTGAGGCAGAGGAATTCACTGTGGAACCAAATGAATGTTTGTTTTCTGTTTCAATTGAAGATTTAGATACAGAAATTGAGTGTTATTGTCCTACATTGACATTATGTTTATTTGGAATAAGAGATTGTGTGTTCAGAGCTAACACATTTCCTGTTTCTGAGAAATACTTCTTGATGGAAAATTTCAAAGACTGTTCAGATGAAGCCTACTGTTTCAACCATTTGGTTTACAGATTGTTCACATCGGTGGTGAAGATAACATAATCACCAAATGATAAGATGTCAAAAGATTCTATAAGATTTAAATTGGGGCAGGGATGTAAAGATGAATGGATGCTTTTTATTATTTTTGTTATCAGTGTGTCACATTGATGAAATTCATTTTTGAATGTTGTTTCCTCTCCATGTAAATATCATGTCTTTATTTTGATTTTTGGACTGTGGCCTGAACAAAAAATGCTGTTTTAAACCATGGAGACTGTAGAGATGGCAGCAGTTTGAAAAATCATGTTTACTAGAACACATTGTGAGTTGTATTGATTGATTGATTTTTATTGTCAGGTGAATCTAAATACAGTGAAAAGCTTTGTTTACAAGTGATATAGGCAGATCACAACAAGCAAAAGATGCAAATATCAAAAAGACTTCGAGGCACACAGGTTACATTGCAGGTTTCATTATTTGAGGCTACAGTCCATTCAACAGTCTGATAATGGCCAGAAAGAAGCTGTTCCTGAACCTGCATGTGCGTGTGTTCAGGCTTCTGTATCTTCTGCCTGACGGAAGAGGTTGTAGGAGATCATTACCAGGGTGTGATGGGTCTTTAGTATATAATGTAACTTTTCTTTTTCTGTAACAGTGAGAGTAGAAAGAGACACCTCTGATCCAATAGGTTCTGAACAAAAGGAAAACTGCTTGATGACAATCTTCTGATTGGCTTCTGACCAGGTGACCATGCCCTGTGTGGGGCTAGTGTAAAAAGGAATCAGCAGCCTGCAAATAAAAGACCAAAAAAATCTGTTACTATCTCTGTCTATTGTGGAGGTTATGGAAAGTCTCCAGTATCAGCTAACTGTATTCTATTCACTTTTCTCTGCCCGTTTCCCAAATGAAAGAAGGCTTGGATTAAACAGTAACATTGTAAATGAAGATGTAGTTGGAATAGTAAAGCAAATACCTATGAATGGATCGATTTTATCGTGGGAAATTATTTGGCAAATTTAAAAGTATTGGCCTGTCCAAGAGTGGTGGAACAAGTAGTGGATATAAAGAAACTGAGATGTTATGGGACAAACATTCGGGATTGCTTCTTGATTCTATTGTGACTAGATCTTCGGCCTATAGAATCAGACAGGAAGAAGAGGAATCTATGAAATAAGGAGAAGGTTGTCAAAGGATATAGATCATTTGGAAAGTTAGGTAGAGAAATGGTGGATGGAATTTAATCTGGACAAGTGTGAGATGATGCAATTTGGAAGTCAAATGCAAAAGCAAAGTATCCAGTAAATGGCAAGACCTTTTGGAGCATTGATATACAGAGGGATCTTGGGGCCATGTCCCACAGCTCCCTGAAAGTGACAAAGCAAGTGGATGAGATGGCAAAGAAGGCAATATGGCACACTTGCCTTTATCAATCGGGGCATTGAGTATAACAGTTGACAAGCCATGTTGCAGCTGTATAAAACTTTAGTTAGGCCACATTATAAGAGGCATGGATAACTGGTGTATTTTTCCCCAGGGCGGAAATGTCAAATACTAAGGGGCACAGGTTTATGTTGAGGGGCTAGGTTTTATTTACACAGGTGGGAGGTGCCTGAAATACACTGCCAGAGGAGGTGGTAGAAGCAGATACAGACATATTCTGGAAAAAAAAACTGACCTAATTATTTTTTAACCCCCCCCCCCCCCAGAAAAAAAAAGGAAAAAACCCCCCACAGAGGCGGGTATCCTTTCACCAAGTCACCCTTTATTTACACATGGAGAGTCATTGACACTGATCCAGCTCCCTCAGTGTGAGTTCTCAGAGGAACAGAATCTCTGACATTCCTGTTTAGATCTGCCCATCAGGGTTCCCTGATTGGTCAGCCTCAATTAAGAAACTCATTCTGAGGAAAATAAAAGATGCTGGAAATCACAGCAGCTCAGGCAGCATCCTTGGAGAGAGAGGAAGGGTTACTGGACCCTGAAATATTAACTACTTTTTCTTCACAGATGCTGCCAGACCTGCTGAGCTTTTCCAGCAACTTTCGTTTTTGTTCCTGATTTACAGCATCCACAGTTCTTCCGGTTTTTAGTTAAGATCAGGGTTAAACTGGTTTAGAGTCACCTCCCCATTAGCAACTCTGTCAGTGCTATCCCTGCAATAATCAAACAAGAACCATCGCAGCTTGGTATCTGGTGAGCCTGGAGGCTGTTTCTTCAAGCCAGCCTTCAAAGTTTACCCTGCTCTTTCTGCCAGACCATTGGACCATGCGTGGTATGGAGTTGTCCTTATTTTTTACGGTTATCCCCACATTACTACTGCACAGCAGCAGTGCTTATTTTGGAGCTGACCTTATATTGCTGGTGTTGGCGATCCGGCTCAATCCGCCAGGAACCAGCCCGTCCCCCCACCCCCCACCGCCGCTACGGCCTCGGGCCCGGGGGGCGGGGCTGCATTTTGCGGCTGAGGCGGAGGCGGAGGGTGAGTGGCTGCGGGACCCCGGGGGTGAGGGTCTGTCCCGGAGACGGGGGGGAATCGTCTCCCACTCGCGTTATTCTTCCTTCTCCCGGGAATCGGCGGCGACTTCTCGGGCAGTTTGAGACAAACCGAGTGTGGAGCTGGAGGAACACAGCAGGTCGGGCAGAAAAGTCGACGTTTCGGGTCGCGATCTTTTTCTGATGAAACCTTCCGCCTGTCCTGCTCCTCTGATGTTGTCTGACCTGCCGTGTTCCTCCAGCTCCACACTGTATTGACTCTGACTCCAGCATCTGCACTTCTTATTCTCGGAGACTTTGATGTTTATTTTCCAAATCCCAGTCCGGTCACTAACTGCCACGGTTTCCCGGGATGAATTCGGTTTCTCTCGGTGCTGGCAGTGAAAGACAAAGGCGGTGGTAATGGCTATAGTTTAAAGATAAACACGAATCCATCGTGTTCATGGCAGAATAATTCTGAGAGAAAGCAAGATTAAGACGAACATATGGCAGAAAAACGTCAAAATGGGGGACCCAGCTCATGGTCTGAAATTGTTGAATTCAGTATTGAGTCCAAAGGACTTTAAAAGTACCAGATTGGAAGGTAAAGTGTTGTAGGTAAAGTGTTCTTCAATCTTCAGTGGAATACTGCAGCAGACTGAAGACAGAAACGTGAGAATAGGAGTGAATGGTAAATCAAAACGGCCAGCAACCAGAAGGATGGAGTCGGGGTGTTTTGCAAAGCGTTCACCCTGTTTACACATGGTGGCCTGATACCTTCCAGACTGGGTTGAAAAACTCAAGAAAGTTTACTTAGACATCTTTCAGGAATTCCTCCCCCTCTCCTGCCCTGTTATCTGGGTCTATATCAGAATAATGTAACTCCTCCATTAACAGTACTCTACACTTTTGCCCCTGAAATCATCCCCACAAATTGGCAGCTGGTGTAAGGGCATGAAGAGCTCCAGAGCTGTGTTCCCTGACTCTGCTGAATACATTGTATCATTGTAGTTGCCATTGTAACAGTAAGTTTCCCATATTGTTACATTTGTTTCTTGTCCAATTCTTTCTAAATACTCCTCTAACCAAAAAAAAAAGGTTCTGAGCGCTGATTTGGTAAGGCTACTAGTATTTTTTTTTTTAATTTGTCTGTTTCGGAATTCAGAACAGTGGGAATGGATGTTAGGGCAGTTGTATGCTCCTCCCGTAGAATGTGGGAGGTAAGGGTCACCACTAGTGTCCCCACTGACTTCATCTGCGGGAAGTGCACCCAACTCCAGCTCCTCGGAAACCGTGTTAGGGAACTGGAGCTGGATGAACTTCGGATCATTCGGGAGGCTGAGGGGGTAATTGAGAGGAGTTACAGGGAGGTAGTCACACCTCAGGTACAGGAAAAATGTAGATGGGTTACAGTCAGGGGACGGAAAGGGAACAGGCAGACAGTGCAGGGATCCCCTGTGGCCATTCCCCTCAAAAACAAGTATACCG